TGCCTCTACAATCACAATAATAATTGTTATTCATAAATGTGAAACTGGCGATTACTTCTAAATGTCTCGCCAAACGCAAGCGTACGACCTCGTCCGGGAGGTTTAGTGGCAAACAACACATTGTTTTGACTACCGAAATTGAGCAATTTGGAAACAAACAATAGCTTCATTCAGTAGTATGTTTTTACGAAAAGCACGCTTCTTGTTTAGTCTTTGGAAGAAGTGTCAGCCACTCGTCAAACCTGATGACGGCCTCATAAATATAGTTGTTGAAACGTCCTATATTGAGCTCTCTCATTGCGTGCACATAGATGCAGCTGATGTTTACAAAGATTGTGTATACATATCTTGTGTATACCCTTGCATTAAATCATAACACATTATACCAATAACTTTATATAGGATCAGTGTTAAGGCTATACTCTCTTTATTTACGCACTTTGGTTTCAATTCAGATTAAATAACGGGAAACAGGATCAAAAATATAAGAATCCACATACTGTATAGTTAATTTTGTACTCAGAGTTTTTGGTAAATAAAGGTCTCTGAATTTATATATAGTAGCAAAAATTCTAATTTTTCAGTCCTCATAACGGTCAGTAAATCATAATTTGCCATTAAAAGCACGAAGGTTCTAAATAACACAGTGTGTTCGGGTCCAATACAGTAATCGTTAACAGTAAAGTTCCATGTCACAATACGAGTAAGGGCCCATTGTTTCCATAGCAATTAGACTTTCATTACTCTCAGCCCATCACGGCCCCGCAATGGGTAGTTGTACATTGCGGACGCCCTGGAAACTCTGTGACCGCAACTTTCTAAAATGAAAATGTCTACAATTATACCATTAGCCGTCCTCAGACATGGCTCCGATGGTTCTCTGCCTTTTTTCAAGAGTGTAAGGCATAATAATGTTAGGTTTTACGACCGGTCGTAAATGTGGTTTAAGTGCACCTGCGGGCTATAAACGTCCCACCCTCCCTGAGACCCCCACCCCTCCTCACCCCTGCCTACGTCACTCTCATTTCTCAATAATGCCTTTCTTTTATGAGTTTTTAATTTTATTATTTCATAGCAGGATTGCTTGTTTTTCCTGTGACTTTGTCGAGTAATGAGTCATTGTTGTGGGCTACTTCCTGGTTGTTTGTGACCACTTTTTGACTGATATTGCTGTATATCGATTGTGTTAGACCATATGCAATTCATTGTGGAATGCGTTTAAAGTGATTGACCAAATTTTATGTAGTAATTATTTATAACGGTCGATGCCTTATTATTTTGCACAAAAATTTCAAACGTTGAATGTAATAATCATAACATTGAGTTAAACCTCAGCTTTTACAAATAACTACTCTTTTAATTTTCATAATGAGATCTGCCTATACAGTAGAGAATGTAGACTTGGGAAACATTTTTACTGAAATAAAAAATTCAATTTTTTGAATTTAATCAACTTTCATATTTTAATCACATACAATGCTGTCAATTTTGAAACATCTAACGATAAGTGAAGATAGCAACGAATAAAGCTAAATTCTGTACCACGGGATATGTTTTCCATGCAAAATGGTAAAAAACATTATGCTTATGTGAAGAGGTTACTGTGTATATATAGTACTGGGTACTGGGTACATATAGTGGGTGTTAACACTTGAAAGTATGATGATACCATAAGTAGTGGAATGTTAATACAGCTAACATAAGTATGCCAAATAATAAAAAAAAACACACTATTTAGGATATTTGGCAATTAGTGACATCAACCACGATTAGACAACGAGAGCAATATTAAGTTTCCAAATTTCACAAACTATTAACTATTAAAATATTTACATTGTGTGATCTGCATGGATTATAAGTTTTCTTGTAAACTGCGATTCCTATCGCCATACATCCTAAAAGAAACCCCGTTTATCTTATAACAACATATATCTATAACAGACTGGTTGTTGGGAAATATTTTTATTTAGCCTTCAACGAATATTCCTCTGATACCGCGCTCGAACGAATCATTTCACTTGAAATGACTCGGCTCGGAATGGCAATAAAGGGAATTAAATTCAAACTCGATTGTCTGTGGTGATTACATACACAGAGTGTTCCGAAATCAAACTCGTAACTCTGTAGCATAAAATCGGCGTTAGCGCCAGAAGCACGTTGGGTACACATTTAGATGGCGAATTTGGCGCATCAAATTACCATTTTGAGCCGGCATTTTGCTAAAATAGCAGAACTTAGGTGAGACGATGAGACTACGTGCGCCGGAGCTCGTTAAATATTCCCTCTCCCTCAAATACCTCCCCAGCCTCACTCCCTTCCCCAACGGATAGCGTCCGTACTGGTCATGATGCAAATCTGTTTTATCTGCCCAAATGTGGACGTCCGTTTGCAAATTCCCCCTCCCCCCTCGCTCAAAACCCATCTGATACCCGTTTCCCGCTGGATGTCAGCCGACATTTTCTACCGACTTGCATTTATCCAAAACTGCCCGAGCCGGCCTTATCTAAACTGCTTCGTTCTAGTGTAACTGTGTATGCCCACCCGTCAGTGTAATGGATTCTATGCGATCTTTGATTCCACCCGGTATCGTATTTGTTTTGTTTCGTCAGTTAAAAAATATATAATCTACTTCCCTTATCACACAAATTATATAAATACAAAAGCTAAAATGTTTATATAGGCTTTAAGTTATTTGATACCACGTTGTGAGCACATTCGTAATAAGAACACATTTATATTACCCTTGCTATTTTGACTAACAAAAACATATTGAGTTGTAAAATCAACTCCTAAATGAGTGAGCAATAGTTTATCCGTCAGCTGTGCTACTAAACATAATATACTCACCTGAACTGTATTTAGATGCTATGATAACTATGATGAACTATGATAACATTTAACGTCTACTTGTGGTAGTTATAGTTAATTCATACACACTCATCTTTGAAAATGTAGTTCCCCTTATATTTTCCTAATGCCCTGATCCAAGAATTTCATATTCGATACGCTGTTATACGTCAATAGAAAAGAGGGTTGTGAAGTAATAATTAACATAGATATTAAATATCACGGTTTAATTGGCATTCCTCTGCAGTGACCACGGATAGACGCGTTTAGTGCTCGGCTGTCTTCGTAGAAAGTATAAAGGTGTATAAAGGTAAAGTAAGTGTCTACAATGATGTAATACGTCGTAGTACAAAAGTGGTTATTGTAACACCTGTTGGGTCTTTTACAGTTCATATCTCTTCCCTAAAACGTTATATGAGCTGTAATTGCGACAAAGCTTGATAAGATGGTGTAGTGTGACTACGTTAGGTTGGAGATTGACTCATTTCTACTAATCAAAACATGTTAAGATTATCTGTTGATTATTAGTAAACTGGTCGTTCTATGCTTATCAAGAAGTTTGTTGGAGCATCACTTATCAGCTTAGGCTAGGTATGGTTAGGATAGGTTTGGAGTGGGCTACGTGTTGTTTATATCGAAACTCTAACGTCGTTTTACGCCGATTTTAATAGCTTTGAGCTCATAGAAAATATTAAATAAATGTGGAGATGTTCTGCAATTGCAAACCCGCCAATGTAGCGTCGTAGAATCAGCTGATTGGTGAGCCAGATTCACGCTGTACGTGCCTCCGGTGTGGACCAGGGGCTAAACTCCGACTTTGTTTTGACACTGGATCAAGAGGTTGCTTTTAGACCTCGGGGACAAGCCGAAATGATAACATTTGTTTACAAGGTTTAATCTAACTGCGACATTTGCGCGAAAACGACCTCTGGTGTTAGGTATTGCTGGGGAAATAGAAACTTCACGTGAAAGAAAATCCGTACAGGTTGTGTAAAAAAATGTGAAAATCTTCATAGGTCGCACACATTATTAGAAGGCTAATTCTTTGATACACGTTTATTTACGGTATTTTACGGTACTTTACGGTATTTTAAAGTAGCAGGCTACCCCTATAATGAATAAAACTACTGTATACCCAATCCATGTACAGTAAGTACACCACAGCATAGTAGGAATGTAAGACCTTTTCACTTGCACATCTTTTCACATGTATCGACGAAAGGAAGAAGGAAAAACTAAGTTTAAAACACATATAACACAGGTATATTTATGTTTTAAAACAATTTCAACGGTTGATAACTATTCTGAATACCACGTGATCAATGAAATTGTGATCAATAATATAAAATTCCTTGACTCTAGGCTTACATAATTGCAGCCGTCCAACAAACAGTCGTGCTTGCTCAACAATTAGAAGGGGATCAATCATGTTGTTGTCAAAACGACATAAAATTCGCCGTCAAATGGGGCGTCATCAAACGATCCCCTCCACCACGCCATGACGCGGGAATGTAATTAACGATAAGGGCTGGCTGCCATATTAAAAATATCTTACCCTCTGGCAGAATGTAATTAATAAGGAATGTCTCATCCCCACCACGCACTTCCCTAGTGGTAAATTGCGGTTAGAGACGAACTTAGATTGAAAAACTTAGCGGGAAACTTGCCGCTAACTTGGCTTTGACTTTCGACCTTATATTTACCTTGCGAGGCTATTTTCGAATCCGTGCTTATCCCTGGAATAAATAGAATATCCAAACCTACGTCTGCTTAAATTTATCAAAACATACATTAAGTTTGATATTTCTGTTCCCAAAATATTGAGCATAGGTACAAAATGAAAATAGCTGTAATATACATGTAAATAAAGCTTATGAAAGAATATTAAAAAGGCCTTGGAGTATTAACAGTAAAGACTATTATAGCTGTTTTAATAAGCCGTGTCTAATTCAAGGATTACCATAAATTACTAAATTGCTATGTGTAATGTATAATTAAGCTTTAACATTCATTTGATGTTCTATGGTGTGGTTTCTAAATTGCTAATCGATCTATGATATTGTGAGTTGTGACCGTATTTATTTTGAAATTATTGTATTTTCACATGCAAAAATAAAAACAGTGAACATTAATATTGGTTGTATATTTTTCAGGAAGCCAACTCTTCGAAGGTAAGCCATTGATAAGTAATAAGGGTTTTCTAACAATTATTTATAACATATTAAATTTATTTAAATTATACAAATTTTGAGGAAAATTTTAAGAACAAGGTACTTTGACTAACTAAATGCATAGTGATATAGAGTTAGAGTTTTATTTATTTCTTATGTTTTGTCTCCATATGCAACATTTAAAGAGTTGACTAAAAAGTTTATCTTTTAATTCTAAATAAATGTAATTAAATCATATGGAAATGCAAGCCCTCGACAAAAGGTAGAGGTTTTCTAACAATGATATAAATTGTCTTCGTCATTTAATATGTCGACAAATTATTTGTTGTATGATGTCAATTCAACCAACCAGTTACAAAAGTAACTAACCATACTAACCATTACCACAGAAAACAGACTTATAAAACCTATATAATAGAAGTCTGTTTTCTGTGCCATTACTAACTAAATGCATAAAGTATTACTAATGTGATAAGTTTTAAAATTTATTTCTCATAGGTTCTCTCCAAATACAATACCCAATTATTTTACTAAATTACATATTTTAACTCTGGATTTAATTAACTTTATTATAGAGAATCTATACACCCACACTTTGTATAAACTAATTTATAAAGTGCACTAGGACTTTTAGCATAATCAACGTTTTTGGTAAGTTATACAAATTTGAAGTGGAATTCAAGTAACGTTTTGGCTATACATTACAACATGCTTAACCTTGAAAAACTGTTTCTCTAAATTAATTAAAAGCTATGAAATTATCAAAGCAATAAAACAGGAACAGATTGTAAGTTCAAAGTAAATGAAGTGTGATGATGCATATAAGAGGTTCCAAGTCTAAAAATTGGCTTCCCAAAGAATTATTTTAAGTTTTTCAAAAATTACAATGTCTGCAAACTTAATACAGAAATTTCCCAATTACCTGTGAAAATATTTGAGTAGGTAGTCTTGTTACAGGGTGTAGAAAAATGCAATAGACCAATGTTTTTAAAATTTTTTTTAAACACCTTAGTTTTTATCTTTGGATCTATTTACAATGGAGTTTTTACTACTGTTCCTCCGTCATTTTCTATTATCCTTATTCGAAATTTAATTTAGAACACGAAAATGACAATATCTACTCGAATCCATTTACAGGTAATTGACAAAATGCTGTAATAAGTTTAAAAACATGGTTATTTTTGAAAAACTTAAAATAACTCTTAGGGAAGTTAATTTTTAGACTTGGAACCTCTTATATGCATCATCACACTTCATTTACTTTGTACTTACACCAAAAAATGTTTGTCACATTGAGTACTAATCACATTTGAGTAGCAATTTGTAACTGTATAGGTATTATATGTTACAATAAATCAATGAGGTAAAACGTTTAGTAACAGTTGCCCTCTAATACAGATTTCCTGTAGACTAACTAAATTACCTGTTGATTTATTAAGCTCATTTGTGAAACTCATTTTTAATTTCTTAATATTTTGAGTAAAAAGAAACTATTTGATTTTAGAATAAAAATCCCCCCTCCAGCTTTGGATCCAGCTGATTCGAAATTGCCAAAATTCAGAGATCATTTCTAAGATTTAAACTATTTGAGCCAAACCTCAAGCACAATGTTCATGCTATATACCTCAGACTGTGTGTGCTAAACCAAGATGTTATATTACTTTTGTATCAGAAATTCTATTAAATGAAAATTTAGAATTAGTTGTAGTCCTAATTAAACGATTTGTCCTAATAAATGTAGCTTTCTTCAAGAAGAACTGGCAATATTGGAATTAATATTAATTTGAAATAACAACTTCACCAATATTTCTGAATTTTTAATTTTTATGAGGCCTTTCGCCAGCTATGCTGGCATCATCAGACACATCACAAAACTTTGTGAAAGACCTCATAAAAATTAAAAATTCAGAAATATTGGTGAAGTTGTTAATTCAAATTAATATAAATGTAGCTTATTTAAAACTATTTTTGTTATTTTCGTCTTTTTTCTTGCTGTCTAACTGTCACACCCTGCATATTAGTGTTTTCATGTTAATCAAATACAGCGGTTGTTTAATTTTAAATTAAAATACACACAATGTATATTTAATTTTTATTTCGAGTACATTATATATGTATAATTCTAAAACGTATTTGATTAAAATTTGTTATAGTTTAGTCAAATTGTACTCAAATGGTAAATAACTCTTTTTTCACTTTCAAATTCCCAAAGACGTACAATGGTGTTTTAATCTGAGCCAATTTCTCACATAATGGATATTAACCATCTAAATTACACGGTTAACTCCTTGTAATAAACATTCTATCTGTTAAGAAGGCGTGCTTTAAATTACCTCATAAGAACTCTCGTGGCAATACTGTTCCACGTCAATGATATTGTCATTTATGATTGATTTGTACAATTATTAAATCGGTATAGCAATTGTTCTTTTGTATTCGTAAGCCAAATTGCCAAGAACATCAAATGACCCATAACTTATATTTACACCATGTCAAATCAATGATATATATTTTCTAAGTTATTAAGCCGTTTTAAACACAACAAAACCACGTATCATTGAAACTCGCCCCGGCAATGTTTAGGATGCGAGGGCTGCAGAAATGTGTAAACAGAGAGCCGTATTTCCATATGAAAGGGTGGAAGTGTAATTGTGCCGGTTGTTTCTAACCACCACCGTCATCCTGACAATATACTGCATCTGCCGGTTACTGTATCTGTGCACCGTATACAATGGTTTATCATGGTTCCGTTCTGACATGCACTTTCAGGAGCAAAGTTTCAGAATTTTATGAGGGACTTTATCGTACGATATTTTTATTTAGAATTATTCGCAAATTGCATTGTGATACATTATTCTCGTTTATTGTTTGGTTTCAATAATGCAAAAATTTTTATAGCTAATGAAAAGCGTTTTAATAAAGTATAATATATCGGCTTTATCTGGCTGGGGTGATGGTCTGGACAGTGGGCGTAGGGAAGGTGAATTGATGGCTAGGGTCCCGTTCGGGTAAGGGGTAGAATCTAAGGGTTGGAAACAAATGAGTACCATCATCGTATTAGCCGAGCGGCCATCGCATTAAATCAGGAGGGTGGCCATGGCCGCTGCTGATAGTGCAAAATTAATTGTACGCGATCACTGCGCCACGACTGGGGACGAGTGTAATATACGTGGTAATGTTCTACATCACGATAATCCAGATTCGGTAAATTAGTAGGCCTAACAATGTCCTGCCAGGGTTTAATCGTGATTTAGAAACGCTAATCCTACAATTTAAACTGCTTTCTAAGCCTTCTGGAGGAATGGCTGGGATTCGTAGCTTTATATAGACTAGACTTAGAGCATAAAATTTATTTGAATTGCCTTGGAGCCAAGTCTTCCATTTTGATATATCGCCTATTGCTTGATGATTAAGTTTCCTAAATAGCTGACATTTTTACCTTCGTCAATCAACTCGTTCTAAATAACCCCTTTATTCTATTGAACGTTACATGCTATGATATTCTGCGTTGGTTCACTGTGGTGGGCTGGCTGGTGGTGGCAGCAACCACGTGGTAGGTGGTAGGTATTGGGTATGCTACTCAGGCAGTATCCCACACGTCGTAGGTACACCCTGCAGCATACCCAATACCTTCCGGGCCCCCCGAGGTTATCCACGTTCTGTCAACAACTACGTTGGCCTACCTAGTGTGTAAGTGTGTAAGTGGTTACACACTTTCCAATGACGGTCCATGTCTAAATCAAAACCCACTGTATAATTTCACTAAAGAACGATAAATGTGTTTTATATTTAAAGAGCCCACTCAAGGAGATTCCCAACAAATCTGCATCCCAAAGTCATATAATAGTAAAATAAACCGCGTGTACTCATAGCAAAATGAACCTTATACTGTAGTAGTATATTCTCCATCTTTTGGGGACCCTGGATGATTCTCAATAGCTGAAGTTGGTTTAGTACAAAATAATATCATATGATTTCAGAGCGACGAAACTTCCGTTTTCTTAGTCTAATTCCTATGGAAAATTACCTGCAAACGAACTGGTCAACTACTCCTTTCCCGTATCTGAACAACTTTCGTTTGTCCCTAACAGGTTTTTTGTAAAAGACACTTTCAATAGTCCCCGTAATAAAACACTTTATTGCTGCCCCGAATAGCTCTTGCCCTTTGTGAATCTGATAACAAAAACAACCCCTTCGAGTGAAAGCTGATCGCAACAAGTCAAGACCGAGCCAGTTGTCAGTTCTACGCGGCTGGGGGTGCGAAAGGGTGCCGCTTATCGTCCCATCTCCGATAGCTAAGGGATTTCGGTTGTGTCTGGTTCGATGCGTTTAAAATTTAGAGTTTCAACGGGTAGTGTGAATTCGGTGTTTCATTCGGGCTTTCAGTGTGTTTAAAGTTCATGGTGAAATGTGTTTTATCATAGAAATGAGTTGCACCGAAATGACTTAGTTGACAGTGTGTGACATTTGATTTTATAAACATTTCTTTTAGGGTTGATTTTGAAGTATTTGGTTTCTTATTCGGGTTCTCAATGATAGGGAAATGGTCTATTTACGTATTTAAAATCCACCCCCAAAATAATCTTTGATTTATTGTTACAATTGAATTACTTTAAGTACAAGAAAGAATTAGGAGACATTTGTTAAAGGTATCAAATTCGTGTTGTACAGATCTATTTATGATTAGTCACTATACTGTAGAATTTAAGTAATATGATAACTTATCTGTAAATAATAATTTTGTAAAACTGTTTGGAAGATTTTCCTTCTTGCGTTAAGAATATGGTAACGACTTTTACGATTTTACTTTATACCTAACTGGTTTTGAAGTATAAATTACTTAACATTTCCCTCCCGACTTTTCCGACCGTACAAGCAAAAACACTTTGGCGTCAATTTATCCCGCCGTGTATGGAAATCCCGAGATTTGTCTGGCAGGGTGGGTAAGTTACTGTATTTAATCTTCCTGCAGTTGCCCCTATCTTCTTGAAAACAATAAA